CTTCCGTAAGCTGCTCCATCATCCGTTCCAATTTGTCCATCCGTTCCACATTCTCACGTGGCTCTTCCTTCAGCGAAGCTAGTGGTGCGTCGCCCAGGTCTCGAGTAACTTGCGCCAGCTCCTCCAATTGCATCTTCCGAGTGGCATTTGCAATCCGAACGCGCTCCGCGGTTGGCTGTGGGAGGCCGGCCAAAAACTGATCCACCAGCAACTGCGTCCTTGACGGCCCATCCAACCCCGGCAAGGCGCGGTCCAACAAGCTCCTGAGGTGCACCGCAAACACGAGGGGATCCGTCCCCGCACCAAGCCGCGACGCCTTGAACCGTCGCATCGCCTCCTGGCGGTCCGCTGGCGTGACCGGGCCAGAGGGCAACGCTTCCTTCGCGGCGGTCCACTCCAACTTGACCGGACCTCTTCGCGCCGCCTCCAGAACCGCCTTCGCCCTGCCCTTGAGGAGACTCCGCAGTGCCGCCATCTTCGCCCGGTCCGTCTTCAGTCCTACCGCCTCTGCCACCTCCTCGAAATCCTCCAAAACACCTTCACATCCCCGTCTTCAAATGGCTCCGGCCAGGGGATCTTCATGGGTTGTGAGGTCACGGCACCAAATGTTAGAACCCGTGGCAGGCGGTAATTGTTTATTACTAAAGTGGCTTATACTAGGTGTGTTCGTTCATACATTGGATGCGTCCGCTCATCTGCGTGATTTCCATACAGTTACTTTGGAGGCGTCCGCTCATCCGCGTGATTTCCATAGAGTGTTTCCCAACTGGTGCTCGTCTCTGTGTTTACTCCTCGTGCACATGGAACTGGAATCCTGAGGTCATCTTCAACTTTGGGGAAGTCGGCAAGGCTCGCTGTTGGTGTGTCAGCTTGCACCACACTACTTATATCCGGTTCAGTAGTATCTACCTTCAATCCACCACACGCTGAACAGTAGTCATTGAAACAGAGAGTATATGCAAACGTCCTTCAATCCTAGCAAGGAAAATGGGCACACACAACCCCGACCACTACAGCAAACATCTACAGACGCCTGGTGCCAGCTTAGACGAGGTATCGCTTCACAGGCTTGAACCAAAGTTAGCGATAGGCATATGTAGCACAGAAAAACAGGCTATCACTGCTAATAAAATTAGAGCGTAACATGTATATGTCGAGGCATGCTGCCATGCCGAACTATTACCACCATTTAATGACATATGAAGTAAGTTGGTCAGCATGCGAAACAAAATTACTTTAAACCGAACCACAGTTGTCCAAATTATTTATTTCTAAGGAACAAAAGTTCATAAATATCTCCACAGGCAGCGTATGTTACGGTCACGGTTTCCCACTAAACCCACGAACCATCGCCGAATACCAAAAGTTATATATAACATCATTTATCACGCTAAAAAGTACCTTTATTAGGTATCGGTGGCATTCCACAAACTACGGTGAAGAAAACACTTGAATGCCATATCCTCATCAGCATGGAGGTACAAGTAAGCTAACTCTATGTGTATATAATCTTTTATATATACAGAAAGTTAAGTTCGATAGAATTTTCGTGCTTGTGGCATTTCCGTAAAATGTACTTTCTGACCTTGTGAACTTATGTCGGATATTATCGTAAACAACCAACTTCGTATGCCCAATAGTTTGAGATTCGTCGCTGTTCCATTATGCATTACTCGATTTATTTTCTTTGTTATCTTTCTCTCAAATGATTGGCTGTTGCTTGATATCCCGTGTGGCTACTCTTGATGTGCATGTTGACAAGGAGGTTACCTCTCGGTTACCTACTACCTCTTCCATACTGGCTCTAGGAGACAGTTGGTCGTTGCTGAAGGTGTCGGGGTGCACGGTCCTTGTGGCCGTGTTAGGATCAAAGCGGTTCCATGCATTCACTGTGGAGCACACTACGGTCCAGTCACCACCTTGTGTGCGATTGATTCCCAAATACAGCGTGCTTGTGTTTGCCTGTGAAGGAGTGTGGGCCGGCTCCGTTGATGGAACGTAGTTCCCATCCACATGCCTCCTGGTCTTATTCCTTCGGGTTTACACTGGATATGGGGTGTGTGGTTGGAGCTGTGGGTGGTGCAGCGCAAGTCACCCATGGCCCCTCTGTGTGCACAGGCGTCCTGTGGCTGGCCACAGTGACAGGCAAATCCGAAACTGGATGCCGCCAACCACACACATATCTATATAGGTACATATATACATCTGTTCCAATATAATTATACATATACATACAGAAGTGCAGACACATATACATATATACATAAATATTTATGTCGGCACACCTCACCGCACGCATTTATAAATACATAAATAAATATTTATGTGTACATAAGTGTTATTGCACACATATATAAATTCCTTTAACTAAACATGCATCCATATATACATATCTGCAATACCTTCATATATATATATATATATATATATATATATATATATATATATATATATTCAAACTATTATGCTCACTATAATATTCAGTTAACTGTTCAAATATGAATATATATATATATATATATATATATATATGTATAAATATATCTATATATATACAAATAGTTTGCCATTGGATAATTGCATTCTGTTCTGCATTGGTATATCCGTATAAACTCCCATTACATGCCCTTAAATTTAACAATACATATTTCGTAGATCTGGCGCCTCACAGAAACCGGGCCTACCCATTAGCACCGTACATTTGGTCAATGCATTAACTATAGCATTCAATAATTACTCATATGACCATCCTTCTTTAACCCCCACCGATCCCCTCAAACAGTTTCGTAAATGCTCACCCTGTTGGATAATACAAAGCTTCAATGAAATCATGCCTTCTAACAACAAATTACCCCTGCAATGCAATTCATAA